TTATGCCACCCCAGCGCTGAACGACTCAAATGGACGATTAAAAATACAGTTGGTATCGACCTACTGCCATCACAAGTTGAAAATTTGCCATGCAAAGCGTGCGACATGGGCAAATCAATAAAATATAAAACATGCGATAGACGACCTAGAATGAGAAACGTCGGTGAAGGTTGGCATTGCGATGTAGGAACCTTAAATCCGGTCACAATGGAGGGCTACGGATACTTCTGCCTCACGACAGATGACGTTTCGAGGTACAGAATATTCCGGGCCTTGAAAAAAAAGAGCGACGCCGCTGACGAGCTAAAGTCAATTCTGTCGAAAACAAACTCCGAACTGAGACAGCGCCATGGACTTCGGGTGAAACGCCTAACAATTGATGGGGGTCGTGATTGGGGTCTAAACACTCTCCAAGACTTTGCTGCAAAAGAAGAAATTGATGTGATCATCTCCGCACCAAATAACCAGTATCAGAATGGTGTATCAGAGAGAGGAATCCGCTTCGTGCAGGACGCAGCACGATGTTGCAGCATTCAAATGAAAGTTCCATCGATTTTCTGGAACCATATGTTGGAAATGGTGTGCTACACCTTAAACTGTACATCTCAAAGTTCAGTAGAAGACAAGAAGACGCCATGGGAAGTATATTGGTCACAGATTGAACCTGATTGCGCAAAAACCAAAGTGGATCACTTGTGGATACCAGGAACCTTATGCATCACCCACGTCGACGAAAATCACCGTGTTGCGAGCGAAAAACTTGATGCCAACGGCACAAAAAGTGTCTTCCTCGGCTACAGAGGAAGAAAGAACAAACTTGTTTGGTTACTTGACGGTGGAAGATTTATCGTGTCGCCTCAAGTAACGGCGTACGAAAATATCGGCCCAGGCTTTGGCTGGGCAGCAGACCCAAGAGAAATTGTTCGATCGCTCCCTAAGCATGTTCAGGATAGGCTTAAATCTAGAAAGAAATACTATGCAAGAAATGAGGATTACAACACTCCCCAGGATGACAATCAGCAGCCAATATTGCCAAGAGGGCGTGGTCGTCCTAAGCGCACCATCGAGCGGCCCTACGACAATCAGCAGATGTTAACTCTTGATGCTCCGCTTGATACGGACAATGAGATGGCAATAGTGCTGCTTGAACTTAAAAATAGTGAGAATCCTGCAAAATTCCCTGAAGACATATGCGACGCAGTAACAGGACGAAACTTTGGGAAAATGAACTTGGCCTCCACATCCAACAAGATGGACCTATTTCACATGACTCGGAAAGCCATCGATGGACAGGAATTTGGCCTGCACAGCGATGGTGATGAAATCTTCCGCATAATGGTTAACCACTCTGGCGCGTCCTCATACCTAGTCGACTCATCACTCGATGAACCTACGTTTTCCGAAGCTATTAAAGGCCCCGAGAGACGCGAGTGGATAGAAGCCATCAATCAAGAGATTGAAGGTTGTTTGTCTCGTGGAACCTTTAAGTTCGTATCACGAACAGCTGTGAAAGATAGAGGGCGTCTGGTTGCATCCAAATGGGTATTGAAAAAGAAATATAAGTCAAACATGGAACTTGACAAGTTCAAGGCTAGAGTGGTGGCTAAAGGTTTCACGCAGACAAAAGGAGTAGACTTCAACGACACCACTTCAACAACAGCTAGGTCAGCTAGTTGGAGATGCCTAATGGCATTAGCCTCGCTGAAGAGCTGGTACATCCTCCAAGCTGATTTCATAGCTGCATATCTTGCAGGTGACTTGAAGGAAACTGTTTTCATGGAACAGTTCCCACGTCTGAAAGAGTATTTCGAGGAACACCCAGAAGCCGCAAGGAGGTTTGGCTATTCATGCACCAGTGTCATCGAGCTCAAAAGACCTTTATATGATCTGAAGCAGTCAGGGGCTTGTTGGCAAGATAAAGTCAGGCGCATCATGATGGATAGAGGCTACAAACCTTTGATTTCTGATAACGCCATTTATATAGGCAAGACAAAGGGGATTATTGTGGCCTCTTATGTCTACGATTTCCTATTTTTCGGTCCAAATATGGGCGACCTCAAGTCACTATCACAATCTCTGAACAGCGAAGTCCCATTAAACGACTTAGGTGAGGCACACTGGTTCTTAGGCGTCAGAATCCATAGATCATCGCCAACTGGATGCGTAAGATTAGACCAGGAACAATACCTCGAGAGATCCTTCCAAGAATTCGGGATTTCTAGAAAAGGTATCGAAACCCCAATGTCACCGGGTAGCAGGGCAGAGATGAGAAGAAACACAAGTAAGGCAACTGCAAAAGACCTGAACGAGTTCCAAAGGCTAGTTGGCAAGTACAACTTCTCCTCCTGTATGGTTCGATGCGACACATCTCAGGCCACATCTCAGATGGCACGATTCATGTGCAACCCATCGCCTAAACACATGCACCACATGTTGAGGATTCCTCACTACCTATCTGGTTGCGCAGACAGGGGTTTATTATATGAGAAAAATCACCGGCACTTAAATGAGTTTGGAGAACACGGATTGTTTTGTGCGGTGGATTCTAGTTTTGCGGAAGACCACGATACAGCAAAATCCACGACTGGATACGTAATATTCATGGCTGGAGGTCCCGTAATTTGGAGATCAAAATTGCAGAGTACAGTTTCCACACTGACCTGTGAGGCCGAGTATGTGGCCATGTGCGAAGCTGCAAAGGATTGCGCCTGGATTCGAAGCTTCTTGAGCGAACTGGGTGTGATGCCTGATGGCCCTATACCAATTTTAGAGGATAACACGGGAGCTATCAAGTGGGCTACAAGCGATGGCATGACATCGGGCCGACGCCACATACGCGTCAATTACCATTACATTGTACAAGAAATTCGTGATCTCAACATTGCTATACGACAGATCGAATCCAGAAACAACCCTGCAGACGGATTGACAAAACCCCTTAGCGCCGATTTATTCCGGCGCTTCACTGGACAACTAGGGTTGATGGATGGACTTTCGCTTAAGGACTGAGAGGGCGTGTAAGCAGACCTATGTTAGTCTGGGTTTTCGCGCCAGTCCAAAAGCGAAAGTAAGATCTACGCGCACAGATGTTTGGCTACTGGCAATACTCAAGGGAGCGCACAAGGGGATACTCACACAATATAGTCCTAGGCTCGACTCATAGTAGTAGATAATTCTATACCTTTACTCTTACATTCTTGAAGATTCACGTGACATTTACACGAAGCCCCTCTAAGTTTTACAACCCCAAATTAAACCGGAGCTCTAGGGAAACAGGCTGTAAACCAGAAGTACAACAGCTATGTAGTGTCGTTTGAGACTGCCCACATTTGTGTTAGAAATTGTCAAGGATTTCTAGGAGGAAATATCTCGAAGAACAAGTGTACAAATTCGGACAAGAATTTATTGATAGTTGTATATAATATCGAACTTTCTTCTCAATATGAATCAATAATATATAATATTCCGTTAACTTAGTTTTAACATATACAAATAAGTCTATCCTTAAATACAGATCCCCGAGGCTTTAGTGATCCCGAACTCCCAGTGATCTAGCAACAACCAGCCACTCAATTATCGCAAGGTAGCATTTCCTAGCCACTGCATTTCAGATACCACTGAACCTGATGTCGCCCAGCTAAGCTTAACCATTTGCAATCGGATCAATTGAATTGATCTTGATGATCATACTTAGAAATCTAAACCTTCATCTATACTAAGTCTAGATTTCCAACAATTTGTCCGATTTGGCTCTTGCTGTCTTGTAAGCATGAGGCCACCACCTTCTCATGGCTAATAATTTTCTTAGCCCCCTCATTCGCCACTTTCTGGAGCCTCCATCAATTTTGAAATAGAAGGAAATAAAATGTAAAAAATTAAATATAGGTCAAATGTAATTTTACCGAGGGCAAGATTCCTCAAAAAAACGTGAATAGTCTAGCCATTTCGCAATTGTGCTCGTTCCCCTCGCTGTACCGAGTAGGAAGGGGATTAGATTATGAGTGGAGCCCTCTGGGCGCCCGTCACGGCGCGATACTATTCTGTAAAAGAAAGGGTGTACCGTAGTTATTCGAGATCCTGAGTGGTTTTGATAAGATTAATAGATATTCCATATCCACGTGAGGAATCAATCTAATGAATATGGACAAGTATTTTATTAAGCCTTCATAATAGATGTCAAGCAGCGACTTTTCTTGCTATGAATTCACTCCAATTTAGATACACCTTGAATTTGTGGATCGAATTTGGAAAGCTCATCGCTAGACTATCTTTCCCAATGCTCTTATGGCGCAATTTACTATAAATGTTAGGTCGGATTTATATTCAAAAATTTAGAGGCAAAAACAAGTATAAAATCTAGTAGCGATACTATGAATGACCACAAATTTCTACCTGCTTTTGTATCCTTGAGCTGTAACTTGAACTATTCCCATAGTTATATCTAACTGTTTGGTCATATTTGAGAGTTGGCATGTAGCCCATAACATAATCTTTACAAATTCTTAGTTTTTCCAAATCATAAAGAGTTTCTTTATTTTTTTAATGATTTCTTTTCTTTCAGCTCCCATTGCTCTTCAATGAACATTGAATATTCAATTTTGGCTTGAAAAGACGAAGTTTGAAATGAAGCCTGAATAATGGGTTACTGGTGTTTTCTGGGTCAAGTAAAACACTGTCCCCTAAAAAAATTAAGTTTCTGAAATCGTTTCAAAAAAGTTTTGCAACAAGATTGTTACTAAAGCAGATATGAAGAACTAAAATCCCAGGACTTCATATCGTATAATTATACAACTTATATAACGTTACAAGTTATTTCACTGGTTCCGCAAATCTATGATTTATTCCTCAAAAGTTAACCTATTATCCACTGATACTGCAGATTTCCTCTTTGTTCTGAGATAAAAATTTTCACTCTTAAACGACTATTTCGATATTAAAATGAGACAGTAGGACTATTGTAAATTATTGTGAGTCATTTAGATTCTATAGCTTATTAGATCTCAATGTCTTTCTGCGGTCTCCATATCTGTTTGAGCCAGGAGACCTTTTATTCCACCAGTCTTTCGTGCTGGTATTTCACTATTACCAGCTGTGCAAATGTAGAGCAAATATTTCAGGTTTGATAATGTTTGTCGGATATCCATAACTTTAAGTCCTTGACTCATAGCTAACCATTCGATGTTCTTGTTTAAAAGAAATACTCCATAATCAAACCGGAACCGAATCGTCCCCCTCATATACAGCGGGAATATACGCTGACTATCTTGTAGAATTGATATAAAATCCTGAATAATGGCCCTGGAACCGTGTGGAGAAATGGGATACGGTAATGGAATAGATAGATAGTACTGCAACATATTGACCAAGTGGGCAACGTGACCCAAGGCTGCTGAGATAATGTCTTCGTCTACGTCTTCAAAGTATGAGTTGGGAAGTTGTAGGCCACAAATTTTGAAGACGAGGGGTTGAGCGGTCGGTTCTATATTGTAGATATTTTGGAGCTCTTCACAAATACGTCTTCGCTGTCCCCAAAGCTTATATGTTGTATTAGTAACTAGTATACGAGAGTTACTGAGCTTTTCTTGAGCATTTTTAATATCTTCAATTGCTTTTTGTTGGACCTCCTTCCCAATCAAAATGGCCTTATTACGTGCTTCGATTGAGGTTTTCAGGTCCATCTTTCGTTTTATGGAGTTTCTGAGAATCTTCCGACTAGAGCTGAGATAATTCTTGGCATATGCTATATGTTCAGGAGCTTGAAGTGCCTCGTCCAGCTCTTTGGTATTCAAGACCGCATTAATCTGGGTAGCCAGTTCTTCACGAGTCACGAGAGCATCCTGCAACGATACATCGATATTTATAATTCGCATTAAAGCATTGTATGAAGATGTAGGAAGGACGATGCCTGGCTTTGGCTTTGGTTTTTGCGTGGATAAACAGCTTGTATATATGCCATCAATCAAGTGGAAGAGAATACAATTAGGAGGGAAAGAATGATTCTCATGTCGCCCAATATACTTGAGTGAACTGAGACAAACATTTTTCTCGATCAGGAGAACAAAATCCTCTCTCTTGACCCAAACTTTCACAATCACGGTGTCTAAGCGCGTGGTTGCTGGCCCAAACATAGAAAGATCAAATGATCGAAAGGTAGGGTTCATTGAATCTTCCACTACCTCACTAATATATATAGGATCAATTTCACTAGCACAATGAAGAGTGATAAAAGTATCTGCCACTCTGCTAGCTATTACCTGCTCAAGTTTTTTCTGACGGGAAAAAAGAGCCGCTCCTGCAAAGAGGGTACTGCGCCGGCCTGAATTCTGAGACCCAGATGGCTTCCATTCATCTTGAGTGTGTGATTGAGGATCATTTTGAAAGAACGATGATATCTGTGGGGACGAAGATGTAGCCGTATCTTGAGTTGTTTCGTCGCACGGCCTGAGCAAGCAAAGTCGACGAAGTGATATGCCTTGCAGGTGACGAATTTTCCGGTTCTCTGGTAGAAGAAGTGGTCGCTGTAATTCTAAAACCATAATTTCGATTTCAATCGATAGATTATGGTGATACGTGTTGTTGCTGATGACGAACTAGTGAGATTTGGGGTAAGTTGAAGCCTTAATTACAAGGGAACAAAGAGACCATGAATTCTGGACATTGCTCATCATCAAGTGCAATTTCAGCAATTTCAGCACTCTACAAACCATATTTTCATTGCCTTGTGCGAAATGGACTGAACCATGCCTTTGGTTATTTTTAAGGAATTGCCGAGCACAACTTCATTACGTCCTTTTATACACCAAAATCCACCACTACGGTCGTGTACTAATGTTTAAAGCAGAAGTTGGATAGCCCAGAAATACACCATCCGGGCTAGTCTCTATAAGAATCAAGTTACCATTCAATTTATACTATAGTGGTAAAAGGTGACCAGCTTTTGTCTAGTAGGTGCTAATCAATAATGGCCGCTTTTCAACAAAACTTGTTATTCAGGCATCCAGTAAAGAAGAGGGCAAAAATATACAATTCATGTGGCCTTCCCATCATCAAAGCCCAGATATGGCATCTGATGAATATTCGGTGCTGCGGCTGCAATGTATCTCGGTTCATCGATGAGCTGCTGGTGCAGATGTAACTGTCGTCTATAGGTCGATTGATGTGCCAAACGCTCTTCTGAGGGCTCTGACCATCATGCGAGCCTACTTGAAATTTAAAATTAAACATAACAACAACAAGATGAATATTTAAATCACTTTTGTCAGAAAGCTATACTGCGTCCCACGCTACCATTACCATGTATCTGACAATGTATGTCTCATTTCATCATCTTCTTTACCATCCTCTCTTCAATCGCCGGGTGAATATCTCAATACCTGTCAGTGGTGTCCCCTACGAACCTTCAGCTCTCACTGTAGAGTCTGCAGAGCTGATATTGAGTGCCAAAGTCCTCACTTCGACGAGGATTCCCAATCGCTTTCGCGGTCTGTATTGTCTTCATCTCTCAACATATCTCCCCTATCACCATTATCATGAAGCTAACCACGATCAGATCAGATGGTAGAGTCGGAGCCCTACTCATCACCAAGCCTTGATCATGGAGAAAAAACCATCCGATGAGTTTCTGGAGCATGCCCAGCACCCGATGCGGAGATGGTGGATTGGATCAAGTCGACCTCGACTGTTACAAAGAAGGGAGATATAGATGAATATGCGCACCTCATGTGGTCCCGGTGTCTAGGCCTTGCCTGGCTGGGGCTGCAAGTTTTTTGAGACTTTCTCCCGCGCACGCAGTTTCTATTGCTACCATTTTTTTTTTGGGTAGAAGGTTGCGTGGAAAAGGTGGCCGAATTCCACGGGTAAACACTGAGCTGAATAGCTATTCATCAAGGGGAATATATCAATGATCTTTCAAGTAACAAAAGAGGCAAGGAGCACTGTACAAGGTGTGGCCTGGGTCAGAGAGGAGCCCAATGCGCTAGATAGTCATAGGCTCAAGTAGTACAATAAACATACCTCTCTCTTCAATCGACTTCCGAGCTTCAACATGGAGAGTATAGGTACTGTTGTGGGTAAACCCAACGGTTTTGACGCGTCGCAAAAAGCGACAATGGCCACCACAAACATCGGCAGCGGAGCGCAGACAGTTCCAAAGGATAACAACCTTGACACAATAGTGAGACTGCTAAAATGGGTTAGACTAATCGTGATGGGTAAGATGGAGAATAAGGGCTTACCATCAATGGATGATGCCAACAACAAGACCTACACGCTGGTAGTAGCTCCATAAATGACGAAAAAAGCAGCATGGAATAGAATCGACGGAGCATATAAATTACAGTCTGAACAGCTGCTATCAAAGGCAGAACAACACTTTCAAGGAGCATTCGCAACTTGCCAGATGCGAAGCAACGACACCGGAGTGTTCGTCCAGTCGGCGTCCCAGGGTGACGCGGCGCCTAACATGCGACAACCAGCCGACTTTCAAATTTTGCGTCAAGCCTTTCCCGTCGTGGTTTTCGGTGTACCATTTCGGTCGATAATCGAAGGCGGTAGAGATGCCGACAATTACGCCATAATCAGGAATATTGAGACAGTCACCGGGTCTCGGATTCCTGGCCTTGCAATTAATATAATGCGATAGTTACGTAACAGGAAAGAACACTAGGGTTCAAAGAAAAATGGCCGTAATAGATAATTAATCGTGGTCAGCCTCCTATCGGAGGCAATGTTAACGAGAATAGCTCGACATGGCCATGTAAGTTACCGTCATGTTCTTCACCGCGCAAGTGTGGTCACCACGGCACCAACCAAATCAGTGTTTCAACTGCAACCAGTGAGAACACACAAAGGCGTCGTTTGGAAAAGCAGTCAGACGTGGTGAGTGTGCTGGCGCTCACCGAATCCGGGACTATGTGAGCAAAAGAGTTTCATGTGCGAACCGCGGCAAGGAACACACTTCATGGCAGAAAGTAGAGCGACTGACTTATCAAGTCTACAAGAGAAGTGTGTAGAAGGCTCAGATGAAGCCTCTATCTAGAACAGCAGAAATCTGTAATGAGAAACCCCAAGTGGAATCCAAACAAACAATTCGTACGACAGATGATCAGGGATCTACTTTCCTCACCACTAAGAAAGCTGAAGGACTCAAAAGAGGGCCAGGACGACCACTAAAGGTAGTTAAAGCCCCAGCAGCACCATCGGGGCCGACTCTTTGAATACATCGAAGGCCAACGCTGAATGAGCAGGTGCCTTCTCTTTTCAATTTCTCCTAGCATTAGTCTGACCGAAGGGTGAATTAATGAAATTCGGGGAAACTTTAGAAGTTATGGTTGAAAAGAACGTCCTCAGCATTAAGCCGAATTGATTAGAGTGGTATGACAGGTTTTTGTTGCTTGAAAGCTTTTTTCCTTCTAAACATAGTTTACCGTCTTTATGGTTCTGTATATAGATACCGCATAAGAAGTTAAACCAGAGAAATGAATGAATGATCCACTTTCATGTAAATATATTATTTCGACATATGAGGATGTTATTCCCTCATTCATTGGTGCATATCTTCTTTGTGGGTTAAAATTCTCGTAGATAAGATGACAATTTAAGTCATCAGACACTGCTTTTCATCTTGGGTTTTTTCTTCCTTAATTTGGGGTTTGGGTGTCTCAAGCTCCCAGTGCAGTAATCTTTGGCGTCCTTTCCCCTTTCTAAGACTAGCGTACATAATCATTAGTTAGATGTAAAATAGAAAAAAACAAATAAACTTTTTTGTCAGTCCACCTGACACTTTCTCTCTATAGATTACAATTATATGATTTTCTTGCCTTTAGTTATAGCCTTTCCTGACCCTTATGCTATCACAAAAAGAGAGAATACACATCCTAATATACACTAACCTGACCATTGTCATTTCCCAATTATCTCCTTGGGCTTATGAGGGAAAGTGCAACAGCTCGATGTGATAATTTTTCCATTCACTCTTTTGGTTGCACTCAGTTTCACAACACTGTTTGATCGTGAATGGCAGCATATAGGCCTGCCATAGCCCCGGTTATTTCTGCATCGTACACTTCGGTAGATGATACGAGAGGAAGCGTACCCTACCCAACTATCTGTGCGAGGCCTCGATAGATAACGTATCCGGCCCCAGCTTTGCTCTCTATTAGACCTCGTCAGAGAAAACGAATAGATACAGAGGGGACCGCGATGCCTGCCACTTTTTGAGCTCCTCGATACCATTTTCTCTGACTATTGTTCCAAACGTTTGTAGAAGTTTTGGGCGATTATTGGTCCAAAGGAGTGATGTTATATCTATAAAGTGTTCAGAAGATACCCTTTGACGTGTCAACGATGTGCGCGAAGAATTCCAGCGTCGCTGTAGAGGATTTCGTGGGTCTACTGATGCTACTATTACCGTAAGACGGTCGTCAATTCTTTCTAGCCATGAGCTGATTGACCGCCATCAAGGCTCTTGAGGTATAACAGGGGTTGGGGTCGTCCGGTAAACAGGAAGAATGGTTTGGTTTGATTTGTTCATTAACGTGCTAGGTAAAGTGACTACCGCTGCACTCCTTCTGGAGCTTGAGCACGGGTGGGGCCGGGCTGGATCAGATTAACCACTATTAAGTACATCTACCTCGTCCCACCTGAATAACTAGACCACCTCAGGCTTCACCCATGTGTTGAATCATGTCAAGCCCAGGCGTCCAGAGAACCCCCTTTTGGCGCGCCGAAGCACAAATTCCTCCTCAGCTTCGGCCACCACGCGCCCGAGCCCTTGACAGCATCGCCATCTGTAACTTTTCTCTTTTATCCATTCCCAGCTTTGACCCATCTCAGCATCTCCTCATCTCATTCAGGGGTCGTTTTCTTCACTGGAGGCCTCATCCAGTCGCCCACAAATGCCTCCTCAGTTTGTATTCAGTTTTGTTCCTTCATGCAGCATTCCTTTGTCCTTCAGCCGATCTTGTCATCCCAGAAACATTGTAGGATATCCACCCCTCCGGCCTTGGCCCGTCGCTGCCGTACCCCTAACTTTGGAGGTCGGAAATGTGACTGAGAGCTCAAGAACGAGGCACCGCTGCCCCAGCCTTTGTCGAATGCTCTAGTTGGTGTGCCGGCGAAATATCGTACGTCTTTCGTCGGTGGCGATTCGTCGCAGGTCGAGTTGTTGGTGCCCTTGGCCGAGGTGAGGACGCATTTAAGGCCGGTATTTCGACCGTACCTTCACAGCGACTGGCAGTTGCGGAGGGTCGGACATTCTCTTACTTTTTTGTTGGCGATTTGACTTTTGGAGGTATGGGATTGCTTCGGTAGGTGATGAGATGATTGTGGAGAGGGCCGCGAGATCAGTTTGGCTTGGAATGATTTTCCAGAGAAAATAAATTAAGATCTTGAAGGTTTCGGTTGTTGTGATACCGACATCAGATAGGTTTGAGCCTGTGTGCGGTTCGTATCTGGGGTGTAGATGGTTGATTTCGTTGAGTTGTGCAGTCATGAAATCTCTGCAAGTCGGAATTTCGACCAAAATTGAGCCAACGCC